TTGAAAAGAAGGTTGACGACATCCGATCCTCATTTATTAACTCAAATGACACCGCTGGTCCTGTTCACACTGCCCTACCCTATGCTTTGACTTCTTTCTCCCCTCTTTCTCCAGATGAAATCTTACGACTTGTGACGGCCGCCCAACAACCTGCCCGCTTGACCCGATCCCCTCCTCTCTTCTCCAGACCATTTCCGGAGACCTTCTCCCTTACCTCACCTCGCTCATCAACTCATCCTTGTCCGCTGGCTATGTCCCTTCCATCTTCAAGAAAGCGAGAGTTGCACCCCTCCTCAAAAAACCTACACTCGATCCCTCCGATGTCAACAACTACAGACCAGTATCCCTTCTTTCTTTTCTCTCCAAAACTCTTGAGCGTGCCGTCTATAGCCAACTCTCCTGCTATCTCTCTCAGAATTACCTTCTTGATCCAAACCAGTCAGCTTTCAAGACTGGTCATTCAATTGAGACTGCTCTTCTCTGTGTCACGGAGGCTCTCCGCACTGCTAAAGCTAACTCTCTCTCTTCTGCTCTCATCCTTCTAGACCTATCTGCTGCCTTTGATACTGTGAACCATCAGATCCTCCTCTCCACCCTCTCCGAGTTGGGCATCTCCGGCGCGGCTCACTCTTGGATTGCGTCCTACCTGACAGGTCGCTCCTACCAGGTGGCGTGGCGAGAATCTGTCTCCGCACCACGTGCTCTCACCACTGGTGTCCCCCAGGGCTCAGTTCTAGGCCCTCTCCTATTCTCTCTATACACCAAGTCACTTGGCTCTGTCATATCCTCACATGGTCTCTCCTATCATTGCTACGCAGACGACACACAATTCATCTTCTCCTTTCCCCCTTCTGATAAACAGGTGGCGAATCGCATCTCTGCATGTCTGGCAGACATATCAGTGTGGATGTCGGATCACCACCTCAAGCTGAACCTCGGCAAGACGGAGCTGCTCTTCCTCCCGGGGAAGGACTGCCCGCTCCATGATCTCGCCATCACGGTTGACAACTCCATTGTGTCCTCCTCCCAGAGTGCAAAGAACCTTGGCGTGACCCTGGACAACACCCTGTCGTTCTCCGCTAACATCAAAGCGGTGACCCGATCCTGTATATTCATGCTCTACAACATTCACAGAGTACGACCCTGCCTTACACAGGAAGCGGCACAGGTCCTAACCCAGGCACTTGTCATCTCCCGTCTGGATTCCTGCAACTCGCAGTTGGCTGAGCTCCCTGCCTGTGCCATTAAACCCCTACAACTCATCCAGAACGCTGCAGCCCATCTGGTGTTCAACCTTCCCAAGTTCTCTCGCGTCACCCCGCTCCTCCGCACACTCCACTGGCTTCCAGTTGAAGCTCGCATCTGCTACAAGACCATGGTGCTTGCCTATAGAGCTGTGAGGGTAACGGCACCTCCTTACCTTTAGGCTCTGATCGGTCCCTACACCCAAACGAGGGCATTGCGTTCTTCCACCTCTGGCCTGCTGGTCCCCCTACCTCTGCGGAAGCACAGTTCCCGCTCAGCCCAGTCAAAACTGTTCGCTGCTCTGGCACCCCAATGGTGGAACAAGCTCCCTCACGACGCCAGGACAGTGGAGTCACTGTCCACCTTCCGGAGACACTTGAAACCCTACCTCTTTAAGGAATACCTGGGATAGTATAAAAGTAATCCTTCCCCCACCCCACCCCCCAAAAAAACAAAAAATATTTGTAAAGTGCTTGTCCCACTGGCTATCATAAGGTGAATGCACCAATTTGTAAGTCGCTCTGGATAAGAGCGTCTGCTAAATGACGTAAATGTAAATAAGTTCCAAAAGTTTCTACTTGAGGGTCAAAATGACCCCAGTTGGTAATCTATGTACAGTATGTAAAATATGTTGGTAGTGTGAGGGTTAATGATCTGATTTATTTTAAATCAAATAATGTCCACAGTTGTGGAACATAATAACAAAGTATTGACTAAACTACTGTAACAGTGTTTACTTTGCAGTTACTGCCCACCCAAATCCTATCATCCACCCCCTGCAATAGGCTTGGATCTCTTTCAATGGATCGTCAGTGGGCACTAACTGCATGTGAATAAGGCCTACGGCAAAGCCCTTTGGTGCAGTGAGAGGCGTAGAGCAATCAGGAGCACTCCATTGAGATGTGTCCATGCTTAACCACCACACACACACTAATTTATGCAATACAGTTTAGTCTCCACTGCAGAGGCTTAATGCCGAGACTAAGCAAACTTCCCACCTCACGCCTCAACATAAAGGAAGAGAGAGGGGGGAGAGAGAGAGATGGAGAGATGGATAGAGGGGGTGGGGGGAGAGAGATGGAGAGAGGGGGCGGGGGGTGAGAGAGAGATGGAGAGAGGGGGCGGGGGGGGTGATAGAGAGGGAGGGAGAGAGAGAGGGGCAGGGTGAGAGTGAGATGGAGAGAGGGGGCAGGGGGAGAGTGAGATGGAGAGAGGGGGCAGGGGGCAGGGGGAGAGTGAGATAGAGAGAGGGGGCAGGGTGAGAGTGAGATGGAGAGAGGGGGCAGGGGGAGAGTGAGATGGAGAGAGGGGGCAGGGGGAGAGTGAGATGGAGAGAAGGGGGCAGGGGGAGAGTGAGATGGAGAGAGGGGGCAGGGGGAGAGTGAGATGGAGAGAGGGGGCAGGGGGAGAGTGAGATGGAGAGAGGGGGCGAGTTATTTTCCCTTTTATACTTTAACTATTTGCACATAATATGACATTTGTGTAATGTTTACTGTAAAAATGTTTATTGTTTATTTCACTTTTGTTTATTAAACATATGTTTCCCATGCCAATAAAGCCCTTAAATTGAAATTGAAATTGAATTGAGTGAGATGGAGAGAGGGGACGGGGGGAGTAGGAGATTGAGAGAGGGGGGCGGTGGGTGGGAGAGAGATGGGAGGAGAGAGGGGGCGGGGGAGAGAGATGGAGAGAGGGGGGAGAGAGATGGAGAGAGGGGGCGGGGGGAGAGAGATGGAGAGAGGGGGCGGGGGGAGAGAGAGGAGGAGAGGGGGGCGGGCGGAGAGAGAGATGGAGAGAGGGGGTGGGCGGAGAGAGAGAGGAGAGAGGGGGTGGGCAGAGAGAGAGAGGAGAGAGGGGGCAGGGGGAGAGAGATGGAGAGAGGGGGCGGGGGGAGGAGAGGGGGCGAGGAGAGATGGAGAGGGACGGGGGAGTGAGATGGGAGAGAGAGGGAGATGGAGACGGGGGACTGAAGGAGGGGGGGGGGGAGAGAGAGATGAAGAGGGGCGGGGGAGAGGGGAGGAGAGATGGAGAGAGGGGGGGGGGGGGGGGGAGAGAGGGGGTGAGAGAGAGGGGGAGGGGGGGGGAGGAGATGAGATGGAGAGGGGGGGGAGGAGAGAGATGGAGAGGGGGCGGGGGGGAGGAGAAGAGAGAGATGGAGAGAGGGGGCGGGGGGAGGAGGGAGGAGGGGAGAGAGATGGAGAGGGGGGGGGGGAGAGAGTGAGAGGGGGGGGGGCGGGGGGAGAGAGAGATGGAGAGAGTGGGCGGGGGGGGAGAGAGATGGAGAGAGGGGACGGGGGGAAGGAGTAAACAAATTAATTAGACATCAAAGCTGGTTAATCATATGAAAGCAGATCCGCCCACAAACACTACCTCTAATTGATCACTGGCAGTTTGTTTACTGGACAGGGAGGGAGGGAGGCATGGAGACAGGAAGGGGAAGAGAGGACTCCAAAAAAGTTATCTGGATGTGGAAGAGATACTGAAGTCCATAAAGAAGCACTCAGTGAATCGCTGGTCCCCCTCTAGCGAAACCACAGTGTGTCGGCCGGTAACATTCTGTGCAAGCTAATGACTTTTGTCAAACACTGACACCCACAACTGACTGAGACAATTCCTCTCTGTCTGCTCACAAGAAGCTCTGCTCAATGCCAACTTAACCATTACAATAGCAAACCCTCTAGCAAACCCAACAGCATCCCAACTCATACATGCATCTTTAAATCCACTGGTAATGGTATAGTGGATTGCTAGTTGTATGAGGTTATTTTAACTGTAGTTTAAAGCTCTATTCTAGAGGAGACAGAGTGAGCAGGTGATATGATTCTCTTCTAACTGGAGTTTAAAGCTCTATTCTAGAGGACACTGAGCGTGAGAAGGTGAGCTCAGCCAGTAGGGTGCTTGGTTTGGCATCCAAGGCAGGATATTGCTTAAGTGCCGGAGGAGTCTACTGCTCACTGAGCGTTGCTTAATCCACCTTTTACTGGAACCTAGAGGAACCATGACTCCCCAGGCCATGTTTCCCTTCCCCGGGGAACCAGTAAGATGTGACGCTCCCAGAAGTTGTCATGCTCACCCATAGTGCCCTCGGTCCGGCCAAAACATGGCGGCATCCTGACCTTGGCATGAGTTGGGGTTGGGGGAGCGTTCACTACAACTCACGTCGTTCGTTTATTATTGTGAAAAACTGTTTAGAATTTCGCCCCCGGAACCAAAACTTGCCGGTTCTAATCCTATGAGGGACAGTGTAGCCGTAAGCAAGGCACTGAATGGATGATGGAACTACGCTATTTAGAAACCCAATATAATATTATGCAAGTGACCTTGAGTTGGATAGGGGGTATATTTCACAGTAATACATAAAACACAGCAAGGAATGATATTAAAATCAATCGCCATTCTGCATTAATGATGGATTTGGATGCAGGGTCTTTCTGGGACAAAGCACTCTACTGTAATGTTAGATTGCGTTGCTCTCTCTCTATCTCTGAGTTTAGCTACATCCACAGGGCATGTTTGGTAAAATTCTGCTGTTTCCTTTTGTGGAAATATTATAACACAACCAGACAGTATTTATGCCTTTAGTAGAAAATGACTAAGAGGAGAAAATGTCTCAGTCTGTTAATTCTTGGCTAAATGAGTCAAAGAGGGCGTAGGCGATGTGTGTGGGGAGATGCGAGTTGTTTTAAATGATCATTGGCACTAACTAATGCCAAGTTTCTTGCCCTGATGCTGGGTTGGGAGTTTGGGTGGGTGTCCTACCTGACGTTGTCGTGGCGTTGGATGTAGATCTTGTGGAAGATCCTTTCAGGAGGCTTCAGGAAGTCTTCTTTCATCTCCATTGCCACGTTCCTCGGCAACAAACTCATCAGAAGGCGCTCCTGTATGTGTGGGTGAGAGAGAGAGAGAGAGAGAGAGAGAGAGAGAGAGAGAGGAGAGAGAGGAGAGAGAGAGAGAGAGAGAGAGAGAGAGAGAGAGAGAGAGAGAGAGAGAGAGAGAGAGAAAGTAAGAAGGTTAAAAGAAAATAAAGAAACAAACAAACAAAACAGAGCGAGGAGAAGGAAAGAGTTATACTTAATCAGACTTGAGAATATGAGAGGAGAGTGTTGGTGGTGGTGCAGATAAGAAAAGTGAGAGACAAAAAGGTGGTGTATCAAACAGAATTGAAAGTGTGTAAATGAGTCACCAGGTGTGACAAAAAAAAATAGAAAATTGGGGAAAGAAAGGAGCCATGCATAAATGAGCCATCATACACATGATTTTAACCTTATGCCTTCTAGTAATGTGTGTGTGTGTGTGTGTGCATGTGTTTGTACTTGTTTCTCATTCTCATCCTCCATGCGTAGCCTCTCCTCGATGCAGTTGCGTGCCTGTAGGAAAGCCTTCCTTTGGGCTCGCTCAGTCAGGATGCGCACAAACAATCCAGACAGGTTCACACTGGTAAACAGCACCGTGTTGGCCACCAGCTACAAGCACAAACAACAAGCACCACAACATTATACACTTAGCATATGCTTTTATCCAAAGTGACATAGGATCCCTGCAGAAATTGAACGTATGACCTTAGTGTTGCTAGTGCCATGCTCTCACCAACTGAACTACATAGGACTACGTTCTCAAGGCAAGACTGTCTTAAATAGCAAATACATGTATGATACTTGGGCAAAGTACATACAGTATGGTGATAGTGAAACTATACTTTGACAGGTAGCTAGCTACCCCTGTCATATTGTTAAAGCCAAACTTTTCTGACAGAACATCCAGGTAACTGCTAAAATACTGGAAAAACTTGAGTAATGAGGGATACAAAGTATATTGAAAGCAGGTGCTTCTACACAGGTGTGGTTCCAGAGTTAATTAAGCAATTAACATCTAATCATGCTCAGGGTCATGTATAAAAATGTTGGGCAGGCCATTATTTTGGCCAGTATTTTGGCTACCATGGCTATGCCCACATAGGATGACAACGCCCCCATCCACAGGGCACGAGTGGTCACTGAATAGTTTGATGAGCATGAAAACGATGTAAACCATATGCCATGGCGGTCTCAGTCACCAGATCTCAACCCAATTGAACACTTATGGGAGATTCTGGAGCGGCGCCTGTGACAACGTTTTCCACCACCATCAACAAAACACCAAATGATGGAATTTCTCATGGAAGAATGGTGTCGCATCCCTCCAATAGAGTTCCAGACACTTGTAGAAACTATGCCAAGGTGCATTGAAGCTGTTCTGGCTCGTGGTGGACCAACGCCCTATTAAGAAACTTCATTTAGGTGTTTCCTTTATTTCGATAGTTACCTGTATGTTGCGGTTACATTATATCTTTAAAGGGGAAATCTGTGATTGCTACATCAATTTTTTGACTTTTAAATTCACAATATATACCCATAGATTTTTTAAGAACATAACTCATAAATTTTTCATGAACTTAGTTCAATTGTCTTATCCCATCAGATCCCCAAATATAAGCTTGTTTTACCCCTTTGTTTGTAAACAATGTAATTGAAAACAAGCACTGTACAGCCTCAAAACATCGTTACAACTATAATTTTGATCTCATGGATGGTCAGTCCATGTATCCATAGCTCTGTCAATGAATAGCTCTGTCCTCTTTGTTATTATTTGAACTGCAGATTGCCCCTTTAACGCATGAAGGGCCAGGTGAAGCTGAGGTATCAGAAACCATCTGGCCTAAACACATAGCACACTAACAGACTGATGCACTGTATAGATATAGGAAGAGAGAAGAGCTGTACTGTACATTCACAAACATTATTTTGAAGCCAAAAATAAAGTATTTGTTTTGTCTTGTGCCATTACATATTTGGAATCAATCAATCAGTATGTGTGTGTGTGTGTGTGTGTATGTGTGTGTGTGTGTATGAGTGTGTGTGTGTGTGTATATAGTTTAACCAACATCACAGAGGGGTCTACAAAGTGAGCTGTGCTTCCAGCCGATCATAAGACATGTAGGAGAGAACAACAGAGGCTGGAACAGTGAGTGTTTTCCATGTGGCTGGGCATGACTGGTCCTGGCACAGTGTGACCTTTACAACAACAAAACAAGGCCTGTACACAGAAGTACACACAGACAAATACACACACACACACACACACACTAGTCCATTAAAACTCTGTATAATGTCAGCCAGCCTTCCTCACCAGGAGCAATACATGGTCTCACAAGAAATCCATGGTCTCACAAGACTACCATGCAGACGACGACCCTCAAATATCCGTCAGTGTGTTGGTGGACTCTTATAACAGAAGTCAGCTAAATAAAGGCTGCAGTGACTAATCAGGAGAGGGGAAAGAAAGAATCTAACCTAAGTCCTTCTCTCTCTGACTGAGACGAGGCATGGCTATTATTGATTTGTTTACACCACACATAGACATCTGAAGAGAAGGTGGCCTATAGCTCCTGTAGGGTCACACCACTGAGCTCATCTTCAGGATGAAGGGATTAGCTTTCCCTCCCCAGGCCGTACTCTGCTACTGCTGGCACTGTTCTTTACACACTGTCTTCCTGGCCCACCTATAGGCTACAGGCCTGAGATATTATAGGCCACATGCTAAAAACAAACCCACAAAAACCACACACAACCTTAACCTGTAAGGTGAAGACTAGAGCTGATTTGATAGAGCTCAACCTATCCATAACAGAGTAAGAGAGAGAGAGAGAGAAAAAAAAACACATGTTGAGACTGTCAAGACATTTTAGGTATTTCTGTCCTGAAATAACTTATCTGGCTTTGCCTTGTCCTTTATTTAACTGTCTGGTTGTCTGGTATCTGGTTCAGGTCCTCAACCATGGCCTACTTTGGTTCTGCATCAAGGACTTTTTACCCTCATCCTAAGTGGACCATATATTCCCTATGAAACAGAGGCATATGTGAACCCTGTCTGAACACTGTCTGTCTGCTCTCTCTGTGTGGTCCTGTTTGTTTTGTTTCACTCTGTGTTGGCGGTGTAGGATGATATGAGGTTGGGTCATATTATTAGACATACACTCTCATATTAGCTTGATTTTCCATCAGACATGGCGGCTGATCACTTGATCTCAAAGGTGAGATTCCAGTAAATCTCGGATGTGCTTCAGAACAACTATAATATGTGAGGTGGCTTTCCATTTTCAGATAATGTGCTCTGTGTTTTTATAATTGACATAGGCAGTTGCAATTTGTAAATAGGTAATGGTACATTTGAATGGGAGTGTGTTTTCATTGATGATCCCTATTCCCATGTCGTGTTTTACATTGATATTCATACCATAGACCCAAGCCATATCAGTCAAACAGGCTATTTTGAAGTCAATGTTGTGAGACAGACACAGCTCTATAGGCTATTTCTATGTCCCCCCACCTCAGTGAAATCAGGTTATTAGACTACATCTGAAGCAATGTCAACATGGAAAGCCGGCTTATGCTTTGACTGACCAGAGGGGTATCCCACGAAGCAAGCTAGATCTACTCAGGGTTTTCTAAAGCTAACCAGCTTCAGCTTCACATTTCAGCTCAGGATTCATCCGTACTACGACGGTGGATATTGCTCATCAGCCTGCCGCTAACGCTTCTAACACAACGACTGTATCATTGCGTTTTGGTACACCGGAAGTACATTCATTTCCAATAGACCGCTGCGTTTGCCTTGCAGCATTGCGTTTCAGAGGCAGTTCTAGTGCGTTCTGTGTGGTGCATACGTTGGATTTATCGAACGTATGCGTCAAACTGTATGCATGAACGGGTTGACAGAAATGGTAGCAGAAGGTAAATGTTGAACTTTTGTTGCACACATATCTAGATGACGCTGCATTCTATTTCGCGCAAAATGCTCAGTCGGTGTGTTCAACGCGTAACTCTAGCAGGCTTGTAACTGAGCACATGGCTAGTCGAACGCCGAACGCTTCATTGAGACAATGCTGAAACATCAATCCATGGACGAGTCAGTGCTACACAGTGGTAAACAGAACATTGAGCAGGTGAACTCATACAAGTACCTGGGGGTCCACATTGACAGTGGGCTGTGCTGGGGCATCCATGTGGAGAGTGTGTGCTCATGTGTCCAACAGCACTTGCACTGACTATGCCGCAATCTTTGCAAGAGGGAGGGAATCTGATTTCATTGGTCCTTAACTCGTGGCTCAGTCTTTTCATTCATGTTAAGTTAGCCGTGAGTTGGCCTGTCCCGGAGCAGGTTCGTTTTGAAGGATTCGTTGCCATAGAAATGTAACTGGCTAAAAGGTGAGACGGTTTCGTATGACAGTTTATCCCGAGTTGACCACCTTCAAACCTGCTTCGTAGGATACCCCTCTGCTCTCCTGTCTGTAGTGGTTATCAAAATCTGCCACACGTCATTGAAGTCCGAGTTTAGATTGAGCTACTGAGCACCTCTCCGTGCGTCATCTCGCACAGCCTTGCACTTTCTACCAGCCTACTTGGGCCTACATCCAGCACGCGCTCGTTATATAAAAAAAAAAACTGCATGTCTTGATTTCACAGATATTTCTATTCTACATAAATCTAGGCCATTACAGATATAAACCGAAACATTTAATTTAAGAATTAAAATGTGTATGTCTTCCACAAGCGAGACATTGTAGTGCGGTGTGGCTCACTTGGTAGAGCATGGCACCTGCAACGCCAGGGTTGTGGGTTCCATTCCCACGGGGGACCAGTATGAAAATGTATGCACTCACTACTGTAAGTCGCTGTGGATAAGAGCGTCTGCTAAATGAGTAAAATGTAAACGTATGAAGTGAGCGCCGCCAATCGCTGTCCAGTTTGACGGTGCTGAACTTCATATTGACATAAACCTATTAATTGCTTCCTCTCGCCGATGTTTTCCCTTATCCGTTCTTCACAAAAGCCTTTACCCATGCCTTGAACAGCCTAGCCTGGTGGTTAACTATGTATACACGCATACAAATTAATATGCACCTACTTACCGTTCTCCATAATTTCTGCGTCTTGACTGTCACCGATGTCGCTGTCACAATTATATGAGAGATGGCAATCATTATTCCAAACACTACTGCTAACAGAGTCCGCACGGGCAGGAGCGAGTAGGCGACGAATGTAACCAGCATGAGCTGCCACATGCCCTGCTCCGGATTGGTCGGGGGCTCCAGGCCCACCGCTCCGAGGGAGAAGGGACAGCAGAGGAACGAGAAGGTGAAGCTGAAGAGCAAGGTCAGGTTGACGATCTGCTGGAGCTGGGTCACCTGCAGGTATTTGACGTTGGTGACAATGAAGAGGGATACGAAGACGATACAGTGGACCGGATGGGACCCCTTGGGTATGGTCAGATTGGGCCCGGAAAGCAACTCCACCACGGCCAGCGTCGATGCCATGATGATGAGCACCGCCAGGGCTTTGAGAGTGGACGTCTGCTCCAGCTTTAGGTTGTAATTCTGAAACAGAGACTCCAGCTCCTTACAGTCGAACTCGTCCTCGCAGGCAATGGTAGTTAGAGGGACGCCGGGTGGACAGTGGCTTTTCTTCCGCCGGGTTTTGACTTTCTGAAACGGAATTTCCTCCATGTCAGGGCCATTCATAAACGAGACACTGGACCACACAGCGCGCCACAGACCGACACCGGGAAACAATCAAGCACGCAGCCGGCTAGAAGGGAGAGCGTCCCGGATCCCTATGGCTGGAAAACTGGCGCACGCCACGCAGTATCCACAGGTTGAAATATGTTGTTCGTGGAGATCAGTCACCAAGGAAACGTGCAAGCATTTTCTCCCCTTGAGGAAGACTCCAAAAAGTAGGCTGTCGGCGGATTTTGTTTAACTCGGGCGAGGAAAACAGTGTGGAAACAGAGTCGAGCACACGACGGTTGAGTTCTGAATCTAACAGCTTTTCGCGAGGCTTAGATTGGATCACGCCTGCGCATTATGAAGTGGAGATAAGACACGTCTCAGGAACTCAACAGAACAGAGACTTGAGAGGTAGCTAGCACTATAGTCCCCACACAGAGTAAATAACTATCTTTCTCTGGGCTTAGTGGGCTATACTGTAGCCTATTTACTGTAGGTTTCAGTCAGAAGAAGTATCTCGAATATATCTTAAAGAATTGAATTTGCACAAACTAAAGTAGACTACTGAGTTTTATGTATACAAATGAAAACAGGTATGGCACTTAGGGGCCTATGCATAGAACACAATTAATGACTGTGTATAACATGTATCAGCTACAGGCCTATGAATAACATAATTGCTGTATAACTGTTGTATTGCACTATAAAATGATATGCATTTTGATCCATTACAGTTTTTTCCAACTGCTTACACACGTTTTCAAAACGATGTCTCCTTTTTTTCAAAACTCTACATACAATTCCCAAAACTGCACACACAAAATGCAAAATGCCTCACATCTCCTTCAAAATGTAACACTGCATTCAAAATGCCATAAACACATGTCAGAATGAAGCATTTGCATCAAATGGCAAACACTTCTTTCGTAAGAGTAAAATTTTGGATATACCATGTAAACACTGTTGTTCTAAATCTAAAGCTCTTTGGTCTTTCATAGGCTTATATCTACATTTCAATACAATGTTCTACAGCAAAAGTAATTTGCTGAGAGTGGTAACAAGTACACTGTAAACACCAATGCAATGTAGAGACAGAAAATTTTATTAGGCCAAACATTACTGTTGTATACAGTAGCATACAACAAAACCATAAACATATGTAAACCAAAATTATATTATTTAGAATACAGTAAAGAACACAATTGTGGGGGCAGTCCAGGAATTGGTAGGGGGGGGGGGCAGTCACCAGTGCTAAACTACGCTTCATCTCTTCTCCGGGCTGGGTCTGGCCACAATACTTCGTCCACATCACAAGATACGTTTTCTCTTGCCAAACATCGAGGGAAGTATCTCCTAGCATGGCATATCCAACTTTGGACAGAGGCAACCTCTATGTCCCCACATGCGTCCTCCATTGCCTGGAGAAGCGGCATGCGGGCATAGGGTTGGCGATCATACACTTTCCAGCGCCAGGCTGAGAATAATTCCTCTATGGGATTTAGAAAAGGTGAATATGGGGGTAGGTACAAAACTACAAATTGTGGATGGGTGGCAAACCAGTTTTGGACCAGAGCAGCCTGGTGAAAACTAACATTGTCCCATATAACCACAAATCTAGCAGGCTCCTGATCTGGATCAGGGACAAGCATTGTGTAAATTGCATCCAGAAAAGTGAGCATATGGCCAGTGTTGTACGGACCCAGTGTGGCATTGTGATGGAGGACCCCGTTTTGAGTGATGGCAGCACACATAGTTATATTACCCCCACGCTGTCCAGGGACATTGGTAATTGCCCTCTGTCCTATTACATTTCTTCCGCGGTGCCTGGTTTTGGTGAGGTTGAAGCCAACCTCATCCACATAAATAAATTAATGGCGAATAACATGGGCATCCATCTCCAATACTCTCTGTAACAGACAAAAGGATATACAGATGAGTAAATATGGTATGTCTGAAGTACTGGAAGTAGTGTTGCATACATACCTCTACAAAGTCATATCGCAGATTCTTGACTCTGTCAATGTTTCTCTCAAATGGCACCTTGTAAAGTTGTTTCATCGTCACTTGGTGCCGTTGGAGGATGCGTTGTATGGTCGACAGGCTTACAGCATTGATGTTGTTAAATATGGTGTCATTATTTAAGATATGCTCTCTTATCTCTCGAATCCTAATTGCATTGTTGGCCAAAACCATATTTATAATTGCAGTCTCTTGTACATCTGTAAACAAGCGTCCTCGTCCTCCATGATGTCTTTGCCTTTCCACTCTGTACAGAATTCAAACACAGTATGTGTTCAGCATAGGAACTGTAAACAATGTACAAAATAATGTAGTACAGCATGATAACCAACCTTATTCATTCAATGCAGTGCAATAAATGGAGGGCTAAGAGTTACAAATGTTTATGCAATACTATGCAGTCATACGTATTTTACAGTACATTACTGTAATGCTAAAATAGTAATTAGATAGTTGCATACCTGTTCTCATTTCTGAAGGTTTAAATTATGGAAGCCACTGTCGACTCAAGTTGGGTTGGACTCTCAGTCCAGCCTCTCTCATGGTCAAACCATGGTTGATCACATGATCAACAAGTGTTGCCCTAATCTCATCAGAGATGGCTCTCCTTCCTTCTCTTCTTTGCCCTCGTCCTCTTCTTCTTCTTCTTCTTCCTCTTCCTCTTCCTCTTCATCTTCCTCTTCCTCTTCCTCCTCCTCTTCCAACTCTTCGTCTTTGAATTTGTCCTCGTTGTTGTCCCCTGCCTCTCCCTCCTACTCCTCTTGCTCTCTGTCCATTGTTGACATCCATTGTTCAAAACAGGTAATCTGACCTTTGACCTATTTATAGGCCTATACTACAGTAAAGCAGTGATTTTGCACTTTGAGTGAGAGGTTTCAAAAATCGTCTGACATGAAAAGATTTTGTGTGTACGCAGTTGGAAAAAACTGTAATAGACTGTGTGCATTCCCCAATTAGAGGAACAGTAGCACATTCGCATATCTGTGAGCAGCTGTAAAAATATCAATGCACAAGGGAGGAGGCCACCTGTGTCTTTTTATATAGACAGTCATATCACCTCTGCCAGGTGAGAGTTGTTTGGAAGATACCAGGAATCATCACAGTACTCATGGATGTGTGAATCCTTGTGTGTATTGTGTGTGTGTGTTTGTGTGTGTGTGTCTGTGTGCGTGCATTTATGTATGTGCGTGAGTGCATGTGTGCGTATCTCTAGAACTGTGTGTTTGTTTGAAAGAAAGAGGGAGAGAGGGAGAGCATTTTCTTTCAAGGCTCAAAATAAAATTGTATTTGTCACATGCGCCGAAAACAACAGGTGTAGACCTTACTGTGAAATGCTTACTTACAAGCCCTTAACCAACAATGCAGTTCAAGAAATAGAGTTTAAGAAAATATTTACCAAATAAAATAAAGTAAAAAATAAAATAAAAAGTAACAATACAGGGGGTACCGGTACCGAGTCAATGTGCGAGGGTACAGATTAGTTGAGGTAATTTGTACATGTAGATAGGGGTAAAGTGAATATGCATATATAATAAACAGTGAGTAGCAGCAGTGTAAAAACAAAGGGGGGGGTCAATGAAAATAGTCTGGGTGGCCATTTGATTAATTGTTCAGCAGTCTTATGGCTTGGGGGTAGTAGCTGTTAAGGAGCCTTTTGGACCTTTGGCTATGTAATCTTTTTTAAGTTTAAAGTGAAGTTGTCATGTCTAGGAGAGCAGGTTGTGAGATCTGGAGAGGCAGACTGAACACCAAAAAAAGCAAAAAGCATGAGAGGAGGATAAATCCTAAATATCGCTTATACCGTCTTTGTCGCTCTCCTCTCTTGAACAAAAAAAGACTCAGTATTGCAGAGCTCATTTTAGACCCACAGTTCTCCTCTTCTCTCTCTAGTACACTACAATGTTTTGCTATGTTTAGGTCCTACACATTGAATACACAGAGAATCCATAAGATACAATGTGATTCAACATGAATAACTCCTATATTGGACACAGCTGTGAACATATACAGTACCAGTCAAAAGTTTGGACACACCTACTCATTCAAGGGTTTTTCTTTATTTTTACTATTTTTTACATTGTAGAATAATAGTGAAGACATAAAAACTATGAAATAACACATATGGAATCGTGTAGTAACCAAAAAAGTGTTAAACAAATCAAAATTGCCTTGATGACAGCTTTGCACACTCTTGGCATTCTCTCAACCAGCTTCACCTGGAATGCTTTTCTAACAGTCTTGAAGGAGTTCCCACATATGATGAGCACTTGTTGGCTGCTTTTCCTTCACTCTGCCGTCCGACTCATCCCAAACCATCTCAATTGGGTTGAGGTCGGGGGATTGAATGAGTAGGTGTGTCCAAACTTTTGACTGGTACTGTATATTATTTATCTCTTATTGAGGGTGTGAATACAGTATAATTACTGCATTGAGCTAGCTGAGTGAATATAATAATTTCCTTCAAGCAGCCCCCTCTGCTATTGCACTCTTGTATGTGTGTATTGTATTGCATGGTCAAAAGCAATGAAACACGAAAGCTCATGTTGTACACAGGTTATTACACAGGAGATCTCGATAACATCAGTCTGAATCAGACACAGCTAGGGAATTCAGAAACACGTGTCTCATCTTTGACATTATTTGGGGCTTCATGGCGTTGCAGCCACCATCCGTCTCCCTCCTCTCCATCTCCCTCCCTCTATCTCTCCCTCTTACTCTCCTCTCGCTCACCCTCTCCTTCTCTCTCTCTGACTGTCACTCTCCCTCTCTCCCTGTCTCTCCATCTCTACCTATCCAGCTGCTTGGCATTCAGAAGGTAGCTCCTCCTCAGTCATTACCAGGAGAAGATTAGTCATCCATCAGAGGCAAAATGACGGCCACACACACACACACGCACGCACGCACACACACACACACACACACACACACACACACACACACACACACACACACACACACACACACACACACACACACACACACACACACACACACACACACACACACACACACACACACACACACACACACACACAGAGAGAGAGACACACACGCCATGACC